GTAAACCTAAGGGTAATAAACACTTTCTCCCTAAAGTGTTTTGGTTTTTTTTGCTTGTTTGTGTTTGTTTCAGTTTGGTTTTTGGTTTTTCTGAGACAGGGTTTCTCTGTGTAGTCCAGGCTGGCCTTGAACTTGCAATTCTCCTGCCTCAGCCTCCCAAGTGCTGGGCTTATAGGTATGCACCAGCATGCCATGCTTCAAAGTATTTTTAATGTTCTTAGATTTTTCAAAGCATAAGACGGCCATGAAATAATTCTTGTTTATCTTTTGATATTAGCACTTTACACTTCCCTTTTGGATGGAGAAATGGATGTAAAGAAAGTTAAATCTTCTAGACAGAATAATGACAGAACCAAAGTAGATTTTTTTTTTAATAATCCCAGTTGTAGGCAGATACTATAATGCTCTTTTTTTTTTTTTACTCTAGTAACCTCTTTGCTAAGAAGTTAAGCTACTTAGAAAACTGTTGGGAAATTATTTTGTCAGTATGTTCTATGCTATATGACCACAGGGGGGAAGCTGGAGGCAGAAAAAAAAAAAAGCCCCTGAAAAATAATGGCCTATTTACTAACAGCAGCTACCAAATAGTTTGTTATCTGTACTTACATATGTCATGGTAAGACCTCCATCTGTACCAATTAAATATCCCTGTATTGACCTTCATTAAAATATTGTTTGAAAATTCATTATTTATAGCTGCTACTGATACAAACAATCTGTATGACCTTAGGCACATCACTTCACCTCTTGGGACTTGTGAGTTTCAAACTTTTAAAGAAATGGGTCTCGATGATTCTAAACTGAGCAGTACTGCCCTCCAAGGGGATTCATAAACGTACAGGAGGGTTTGAAGGGTCAGGCCAGCAGTGTTAAATGCCCTGTGGAGAGCAGGGGATGGTCCTGCAAAATGAACTGCCCTGCTTCAAGTGCCAGTAGCAACCTCCATTCCCTCTAACGTCCCTTCCGTCAGTCAGCAATGCCACGTGTCTGTCCATTAATTAATTCATTGTCATTAATTATAGCTCCACTGTGTACTGAGCCTCCAGGCTTGCCTCACCCATATGCCTAGAAACCCTGCTTGACTGTATTCTTTCCTTTCACTTTTTTCTGTCTCACCTTACCCACAGCACCACCTGAGACTTACAAATAAGGAATTTCTAACCTAAACCAATATAGAAATACACCCCAGGACTTGTCAAATGCTTTAGGGTTTCTTATGACACTGAGAGACAAAAAGGATCACTTTGGCCCTCTTCAAAGACTGGATGATGGCCGAATTTGCCCTCAATAATTCAGGAATGGAAGCCTTCAGATCCCACCAGATAATGAAATCCCAGCAATACTTCAACTTGATTCAATCATTTTTAATTTTAAAAATAAAATACCAACTGTTTTATGCCCAGTGAACAGTTTTCACTGGCAAACTGAAATCTCCTAATATACTTACATGGCTTCTGAGGCCAGTTACAAAACCTGCCTTAGTGCACATTACCACATCAAGCAGGTTCACTAACTTACATTGCTAATTGACTGCAGGGAGACACTGTGGGCACAGGATGATCCTACTGGCTGCCTCACCCCACCGAGAGCACTCCAGCTCCCAGACCTCACAGGCTACTCAGCACTCACGTGGTGCTTCCTTGCTGTGACCTTATCATCTCCCAGCAACCCCAGGGGCAGCTGCCTATTCTGAGGGCTTGTTTTCATTTTGCAAAGGAGACCAGTGCATAGAGATGCATGAGTGCCCACACAGATCACGAAAAGCTTTGGGGATAGGGAAGATTCTGAGTACTGTTTACTCTGTCAAGAGGTCATTCTTGTAGCAGGGATACTTTGTGACTATCCAAATCTTTTTCAGCCTTTAATGAATCTGAGAGACTCATTTTGATTTTCTGATTATTAAAAATCTGTGTATGTATTTGTTCAATAACTATTATTGGATATTCTCATAAACCCACCAGTATCCTGGTTGCTGGGAACACAGTCCTGCCTGCATGGACTTCCAGATGAGTGAGGAAGTCAGACTTTATGCCAATAGTTGCATATTAATTAATACTATTGCAGTTGGCAGTATGAAGAAGTAGGAGGTAAGGACATTATCAAGGGGGACCTGACCTCACCTGTGCATCCAAGAGGCTTTCTTAGGCTACACCTAAATGCAGACCTGAAGGAAAGGAGGCAAAAAGTTCAAGAGCAGGGTGGAGAATTCCAGAAAGAGGGGAATCTAAGAGTGAAGGCCTTGAGACAAGCAAGAAGAGTGTGTTCCAGGTAGAAGAGGACCCTAGCTTAGACTAGGTGGCAGATGTGGGAGAGGGTGGCATGAATAACTATAACAGATGTTTAGAAACCGGAAGTGACTGAACATGGTGATTAACAGAATGTAGGCAATGAGAGTGAGGGAGAATTAGTGGTCACTGCCCTGTGCCGGCTGTTGGGTGGTGGGACACTTTTATGGGATTCTAGCAAGGAGCTGTGTGGACTATAGTTCTCATTTGGCATATGGGCTTTGAAGTCCTGGGGGACATCAGTTTTTCTGGTGGAGACTTTGTCTTAGTTAGTATATTCAGAAGTTTTACCAGGGTGGCAGAGACTGAGCCCTATCCATGGAGCCCGGAGTACAGGTATGTAAGCAGGTTGAGACAGACAGGCTTTGAGGGCCTCATGCTTTGCAAAATGCTTTTTTATTCTTTTCTTTTTTTAGGCATGGCCTGGAATAGCCTCAAACTTGCAGTCATCCTGCCTCAGTCTCCTGAGTGCTGGGATCATAGATATGTGCCACCCCAGCTACAAAATACTTTCATATATATCATCTGTGAACTTCACACTGGTCACTGGGTAGAAATGGTAGGGTTGCTGTCTTCATTCTAACAGAAAATAGAGACCCCCTGAGTTAGTGATTGCCTAAGATCACACAGCCTCAAGTAAGGATCAAGTACTCCAATTTGGGTCCTCCTCTAGCTCCCAGCACAGGTTTCTTCCCAGAACACCATATTATCTCTCCATGTGATGGAGGCCATGTGCAAAAATACTCAGGCCTTCACATCACGTGGATCTCACCGTTTGTTCAAAGTATATAAAAAAGAATTCAAAGTTATTTTTTCTATTCTTTGGTCAACCTTTCCTTTAATCTTCTTTACAATAGTATTTTTAATGTATTCATAAAGTATTGACACTAATTCTATGCTAATATTTAGAGTGATTGTTTTTCTTTTAAGAGTGAAATGACAGATTCAGTAATTTTAACTGGTAAAAGGGAAACAGTTGGGAGAAGTTAAGTTCAACTTTTGTCTAAGTTCTAATAATTCGTGAAAAAAATTCTAAGACCTCTGTGCTCTCATCACCCACTCCCAGATCTATTTCTAAGGTAATAGAACTACCTAGGATGGCTCAGATCCTCCATAGGCCTCAGGGGTTCCCAAGGAGCATGGCATGGTTCTGAAGATGGGAGACAGAGCTGCCCAGAAAGGACAGAAAAATCTTCACCATTTGTTTGCATTATTGGTTTGTCTTCTTCCTTTCCCCTCCAGGCTCAGAGAGTTATTAGAACTACTGAGGCCCCAGGGGGGAGTTCTCCAAAAGGGAGTAGGCCTCTCCCTGGCCTTTGGGCACCAAGTTTGGGAGGTTGTAACAAAAAAGAATTTTAGGACACATTGAAGTAAAGACCAAGAAAGTTTATTAGTGAAGCAAAGAAAGGATAGTAGACAACTCAGACATGGGTGCAGGCATATCTAATAACGGGTATAGTGAGTGGTCTGACATAGAGATATTTATGGTGGAAAAGCAGGCTGAGAGTTTGGCTCACACTGACCTAAGTTTTCCCCTGTTCTAGACATCTGGTACATTTAATCATTCTTCCTGTTATGATGTTTTGCGAATTGGGCCCAGGGATATCAAGGTTGATCATTCATTTTAAATGTGGGTCATTATGACATAAATGTTTGAGCATCCCTTTAATGAAAATAAATGTTCTGTTAGATGCTCCTTCAAGACAGGTGTCCTATTGAGATAAATAGTATACAAGGATGAATACAGAATTTTAAAACTGAAACCGCCATAAGAATGGGACTAAGGTGGAATGAAGAAAAGTACAGGAGATGAATCAATTGGGATTGTAATACATTTATACATGGAAATGTCACAAGGAAGCTCCTTCTGTAGCTATCTTTATCTTAAATAAGCAAAAACATCATTTTTCTTCTGCAAAATCGGAGATCAGGAAGGCAGAACAGGTCCTGACTAAAGCATGGGTGTGGGAGTTGGTACCAGTGGGAGAGGGGAAGTGGTAGGGAAAGGGTATAGGAGGACGAATACAGTGCAAATACTTTGTACACATGTTATATAAATGCAAAAATGACACCTGTTGAAACTATTACAGGAATGGGAGCGGGGGAATAAAGGAGAGTGATGGAAGGGGAGAATTCAAGTATGATATATTTGATACATTATAAGGTCCTTTGCAAATGCCACAATGTACCCCAACCCAGCACAACAATAATAATAATTAAAAAAACCCAAAACTTTCCTTTGCAAATACTTTGGTGATCAAAGGAGTCATTTTCTCAAACATTTTGTTTCCAGGAGAAATGTCTTTCTTTAAGATATCCTTGCTCAGGTCCTAGAGCTCACTAATTATTAGGGCAAGTGGGTAAGGTCAGAGAAGAAGAGCTGCTCTTTTTCCTTTTTCTAAATTTTCCTTCTTACTAAATGGTGTAGCATAGTGAAGGAGTGTGAATCTTAAAGCAAATAAAATAGCTTGCTTTAAACCAAGCTATTCATTAATACCATGTTTAGCTTTGAATTCCTGGCTGCTTTTCCCATGCCTGGCTTTCCCTGATCTATCCTCCTTCCAAGGGATGTTTACAATGAAATGAAAACAAATTTAACTTGTGTATAGTTCTGAGTCTATTTTAACTGCATCTGTTCTGGGTCCAGTTGAACAACTTTTCTCTGTGACACAAACAGTGTCCCCCTAAACCTCTTTTTGGTTACCTTCCTCCTCCCAACAGCTCCTGGACTGCTTTGTGATCCCAGTCGTTATTTTGCTCTCCTGGTTCTTCCTGCTGATCCGGTACAAGGCTGTGCATTTCATTGGCATCGTTGTCTGCATCCTGGGAATGGGCTGCATGGTGGGAGCGGATGTGCTTGTGGGAAGGCATCAGGGAGCCGGTGAGTTTGGATGTTCACCAGGTGACTTATTTTCAGGGGTGAGGCCAAGGCAGGAAATGGAATGTCTGTGGAATCTCAGGAACCCAGGCTTCCTAGTGTCTGTGTCCACACTGTTTTCCACACTACAAAAGCAACACATAGAGGGTGCTCAATGCATATTTCTAGAGTGAAGGAAGGGTGCAAAACACAGCTTTCTTGCCCTTTCCACATGAGTCCAGAAACATTCAAGTAGTCTTCAAAACTGAGTCACCATCTTCTCATAGGAAAATTTGGAGGCCAGAGCTGCTGGGCTAGACCAGGTGGTTAGAGATGATGCTAATGAGCCAGTCTGCCCCTGAACCCAAGATGCTCAATGTCTTTATGAAAGAGAGCTAAGCTCAGTCTTCTAATGCATGGTTTTGTATTTGTTTTGTGGGGAGGACTTATTCAATCACAGTTTATAGACTCATAAGGTAAAGCCTCACAATTTACTCATCAAATTGCCTTGAATTTACTGGGAAGCCCCGGTTTCCAGAAGACCCATTTTAAAGCATTGCAAGTCTTTAAGATATACCCAATCCTTATGCTACAGGAGGGGATTTTTGAAGGGAAAAAAAAGGGAGGGGCCTCCTTTGTTAACATCAGAATAGAATAGAAAAGACCAACTTTTGTATAGTTCTTGGAATTGCATTCTGTTCTAGGAAATAAAGAGTCAAAGTTGTGGGCATTTCACTTTATGAGATGGTCCTATGAAGTTTCTAAAACAATGTCATTTTTATTGCACCATAGAACTTTATACCTGAAAAGGACCTTGCTCAGCTCCCTTATATTTGGTATGTGAGAATATCAACCAGGGAAGCCAGGTGTGTTGTCCAAGGTCACAGAGCTGGGGGATCAGGACTAACACAGAACAAAAGAGAGACAGCCTCAGCCCCTAGACTGGCAGTCTCAACATTATCAATCCCACCTCAACAGATGGACTAGAAAAACACACCCGGAATTTCCCAAATTCTCTTTGTGAAGCTCTGATTCCATAGCATGTCAATAGCTGATATATGAAAGGGCCAACTTTATGCTCTATCCATGTTCTCAGTAATCTTGACATGAACAATCTCTTTTGAACTAATCAGATGATATTTTTGTCTGATAAAGTATAGTCAGTTGTTCTAGAGTCACATTTAGTTACACTTTCTCAGCTTTCTGCATACTATGTAAATGCACACTAAGCAGAAGTATGTACCTTTGTTAGAAAAACCGTGCCTGCTGACCCTAGCCATTCATCCCGGACATCATCTTACATTCCACAGTCAAGAAAGATGGTTTTCCTGATAAACCTGCAGGTTTAAGCCTGGAATGTTAACTTGAATTGATTTACTGCATTGAACTAATCTTTTAAAAAATGTTTTCTGGCTTTCAAATGAAGTGTTAGGAAAGTAGTATTAAAAACAGTAAATCCATTGTAGAGCCTTTCTAAAGTGGCCAGTTGTTTTATTTTAAACAGATGTGGCTGAAACATGCTGAAGTGGTCTATTATCTGCTTAATCCATGTGTCACCTTAAGATTTGGCAACTCTGTCCCTAAGCACATTGATTTTGACCCATTCTAAGTTACTCTATTTTATAGTTAAAATAGTTACTTTAATTCTACTTTGTTAGCACATTTCTTCATTGGCTATCCAGCATGTAAGCCTGCTTGAAAGAAGCTTTGCAGATGGCACCAGGCACTCCAGATACAAAATAAAAATGTCAGGATTCAGGATGATGTACCCAGAATAATGCTTTTGATGAAATTTGACTATCAGGTTTGCCTACTGTAGACAGAGGTGAGGAAGAATGTAGACATTATGGGAGACCAGAATGTAGAGGATTGCACAGATGTGAGATTTTTGGGAATTAAACCTGAGTTTCAGAAAAATAAGACAGTTGGTCCTTATTTGAAATTCAAATTTATTCAATAGCATGGGTGCATTTTCATGAATTGTACTATAGTCTTTTAATATGCAAGAATAGTGTAACTCACCATTTAGTTCTTGACCTTGTAGTAAGTAATGATTTTAAGTAACCATCCCTCTTCTTATACCACAACACATAATAAATATGCCTCTAACCATGATATTACTGTTGATTAAATAATCTCATAAGGAAAAGCAATTCTTGCAAAGCAATTATGACTAGGTTGATTAGAATCAAGGAGCAATCCAGAATGAGAAATGCCCAACCCAAAGAGACGGATGGTTATTCAAATGAAAAGATTGATTCAGTCTTTTTAACTACCATTTGTGAATATTTTAAAGTGTCAGATACTATGCTAAGCATTTTACATGTGTCATTTTATTTTCACAATAACATCATTTTAAGATAAAGAAACTGAAGTTTGGAAAGACTCTATAGTTTGCTCAATGTTACTTAATTAGTAAGTGACAGAGATGTGATTATATCCAACTCTACCTGAATTGAAAGCTATTTCCACTTAAAACATTTGCCATGGAATGATTAAGACCTTTTCAGTCAGCTCAATTCATTTAGACATTTATTGAGAATATATAATGTTCCATGATCTATGCTCAGGACCACACAGAATATAAAGCTGTCATTATCTATGTCCTTCAACCTTACTTATAAGAAAACAGGTGGGAAGATTAAAAGCCACAGACATGAAGAGAAATACAGTAGGTGTCATATATACCAGTGATGTGAAATAAAGAGAAAGAAGCATGCAGTTAGAGGGACATTTCACAATTCTAAATGAGTCCATAAAATTTGCTAAATTTTATTGCTTACTGCGGCTTCATACATACATAAATGACAGGCTTACTGAACCTAATTTTAACCCATGAACATTATGCAAAAGCTAGTACCATTCTTCCATTTTTTACTGCATTAATTGTATAAATCTGGGGTAATATATTGTTGTTTCCTGTTAACTAGATACAAATTTTAGATACAAAATTAGTTTCCTTGGAGAACAGGAAGGTAAAACAGGTCCTGTGTGGGGGTACCAGTGGGCAGAGGGTGGATATAAGGAAAGGGGAAGGAGGATGAATGCAGTGGAAATACTGTGTACTCATGTATGGAAATGGAAAAATGAAACCTGTTGAAACTACTCCAGGAATAGGGGGAGGAGGGAATAAAGGAGAATGATGGAGGGGGTGAATTCAACTAAGGTGTATTGTAAGAACTTTTGTAAATGTCAAAATGTACCCCCAGTACAACAATAATATGATAATTAAAAAAACAAAAAACAAAATTAGTTCCTTGTTATATATGGTTGTATAAAATTATATTCTGGTTAATTTAATTATATTTAATAAACTAAAATTTTATATATTCTGTGTTAGTCAGCTTTGCATCACCATAACAAATACCTGAGATGAATCAACTTAAAAGGAAGAAAGGGTTTATTTTGACTCATGGTTCCAGAGGTTTCAATCCATGGGTACTTGGTCCCGCTGCTTTGGGCCTGTGGTGGCACAGTGCATCATGGTGGGAGTAAGTGGTAGGAGGAGTGCTGTTCACCTCATGGCAGCCTGGAAAGAGAGAGTAAGAGGAAGTGACTGGGGTCCCAGGACCCCCTTCAAGGGCATGCTCCCAGTGACTTAACTTCCTTCCTGTAGGTTCCACTCCTAAAGGTTCTACCCCACTGCCAACAGCACAACAGGCTGAGGACCAGGCTTTCTAAACATGGGCCACTGGGGAACTTTAACACCCAAAATGTAGCAAATGCAATATATACATGTATCTACTTTAAAATGATTTAAAAAGTGACAAATATAATTACCAGCAAAATTGTAATAAATAATATTTAATCTTTTGTTATTGATAACTTCCAGCTACACAAAATTGCATTATTGTCAAAAATTATCACTGAATAGCTGAAAACTCAAAGTACTGGTGAGTAGGTTCCTATGGAGGAAGTCCAGTTCACAAAATAGACCATCACTATACAAATAAATTTGAAAAACAATGATGATACTATTCACCAAAATAGTGAGTAAAAAGATAGATTGATGTTCCCCTAATTCCTTTAAAAATATTTCATTTCACTTAGCTTTCCTGAATTCATTCATATAAAATTAGTTTTATTAACCAAGAGTTCCATTAAGCATCCCTTTCAGACTTCGCTAGTACAACAATAATTGATATGCATAATAATGACTTTATGTGATCACAAGATTCTGGAAGGTTTCCAGAATGAAAAGAGGCTGAATCATCTTCTTCATAACCTTAGTTATAGATATGCTTTATCTTATGGGTTGTTCCTCAAATAAACTACACAAAATTAAAGTTTGTCATGATTTTTGAGTTGACACATAAAAGAAATTAATCAGATTGCTGAAGATTTCACTTTATCACAACAGCCTTACCTTCCCTAGAAGATGTGCCCAGGGATCTCTTACCAAGTCTGGTTTCTCATCAGGACCTCATCAAGTTCTCAGCTCAACTGGGTAGTGATGGCAACTCCTTAGGGCCCAGAAAAGCTCCCAGTTCTCCCACAGTCACATTCTTAGCTCCCTTCCTTTGACAGTGACTCCAATAAGGTGCTGCTTTTCAGAGTAGCTTCCTCCCTCTCTCCAGTCCTTACCAGGAAGGGGAAATTACCTTGGAAAAAACAGCACCATTAGAGATGACCAAGGTGGATCACACACAGAGATCCCCCCTAGCCCAGTCTAGATTCTTTCATGTGAATCCACTACCTCCAGGATGCACAAGGTTCCCAACTGAACAATGGATACCTAGTTCTACAGTTGTAGATTATTCCAGCCAACCCTGGAATCCAGGGCTAATGTAAGGTGAGGCCTTTGCTTAGAATCCTCTTATAGTGAGCACCCTTCCCATCCTCCATCTGTGCTGATCCAGAGCTGCATGTCTGCTGAACTGCAAGACTGCTGATCACAGAGCCTGAGGCCATGTGGGTAGAGAGCCCACCAGTGAGGCTGCTCTGCTGCTTATTTCTAATCTCCTCTCTCATTGGCTCCACATTTCCTGGAGTTTGTCTAATTGTAGAAAATACGGAAATACAGAAATGAATATATTCATTAAAAACTGGAGAAAAATCAAAACCAACCCAAACTGATTTTAAACAAATAGATTATTTTATGAAAAAGGTAAGTATTAATGTGGTAGTGAATTACATATATTTTCACTCCCATGTTACTTATATTAGGGTATTGAAAGTGTCCACTCATAAATCCCATCAACATCATTGTCCTAAGCATGAACACATTTTGCCCATGGTCAAAATGTACTGTTGACTGCTCTATTATACCTTCTTTCTCTGTGTATTAGAAGGTGAGAATTGATTCTTTTGGTTCTACAATAGGTTAATGAAATAGTTGGAAAATGCCCTGAATTGAAAATAGCATGTGCACATATTAACATGTGTTAATAGTACCTACCTTCTTATATCAGAACACACCTAGAGAACAGATTAAAAACTTTAGTCAATTTCAGTTGGAAATTGTAAGACTTCTTACAAAAATGTCAGAACAGAATACACAAAGGAAGCCCAATTTTCTAGTGCCAGATTCTTGTTAAGAAAATTTTAATGAGAATCCTTCTGCTTTCTTTAATTCCTAGGGGAAAATAAGCTGGTAGGGGACCTTCTGGTGTTAGGAGGAGCCACACTCTATGGTATCTCTAACGTCTGGGAAGAATACATCATCCGAACCTTAAGCCGAGTAGAATTCCTGGGAATGATTGGTCTCTTCGGTGCATTTTTCAGTGGAATTCAATTGTAAGTAAAAATAACAAGAAAGTCAAAGAATAGAATAAATGAGGGTTTGTTTTTTTTTTATGGTTTTTGTCTCTGAAGTATAAAATTAAGGCAGGAAAACCATCACCAACCTCCCACACAGGGGTCTTGTCTGCAAACTCAGATCTTTATTATTAAATTTCTTTCAAACTAAACAAGTTTGTTATAAACTATTATGAAACACTTAGTGGACTTTGAAGATAATTTGCAAGAAAGCATTAGAAATACATCCATTCTCCCAAACCAGTGAGTCGGTTATTATTTAGAAAACTAAAAATATTAAGCACAAATGTCATAGTTTGATGCACTTTGAAAAAGGGACATTCTGTTTACTAGTGACAACTGCTAGGACATTCACAGCTTAAAATTTCCCTTTTGTAAGTTTGTACATTTAATACCCATGGATTTGCAAGAGCAAACCATATTTTAAATTCAACTAAGAATTTAGCATTTCTAGAACAGATGCTATGGGTCTCACCTGTAATCCCACCTACTCAGGAGATGGAGATCAGGAGGATCCTTGTTCAAGTTCAGCATAGGCAAAAAGTTAGAAAAAACCAGGGCATAGTCCCTGTCATCCCAACTATGAGGAAAGCATAAGAAGAAGCTAGCCTGGGCAAAAAATGTGAAACCTTATCTGAAAAATAAGTAAAGCAGAAAGGATTGGGAGCATGAATATATAAAATAGACATTCACCAGACATCCAAAAGTCAAAAGCACCAGTTTTGCAATCATTCTGGAATTGGAGTTTGTAAGTCAACATGTGCCTCAGAATTTTTTGTGAGCATAAGTATCCAACAAAGCATAACTTTTCAGTTGTAAAGAACATGTATTTTAGCTTCATGTAAGGAGTAAAGAATGATAGTGTAACCTCCAGTCTAATCTCACCATATCCTTTACTACAAACAAGTAATTCTATTTCACCAAAGCTCTTTCCACAAAACAAGTACTTGATTCAGTGTCTGAAATTGTTTATGGAATGTATTTTTGCACCATCTTAAGCATGTTTTGCATAAAGGCTGTTTCCAGCAATCCTCCGATTTCAGGGTCCTGAGCACCTGGTGAAAAACTCCATAGCAAACAAAGCACAGAGATGGAAAGACTCCGAGAAGGATTTATTTGGGGTTCATTCTCAAAGTGTGATAACATTTTAAACTCCTAAATTCGATGCTCTGGCTTTGTGAGAGGAAAAGGAATTGCCTAGTTCAACTCTTCACAGGCAACATTTTGTAGATGGATGGCTCATTTTATGGATTATTATTCCTGAATCCAAAATATGTATTCAGAGATCTAGCACTCATTTGCTACAGCTATAGTCTGTTATTGCTAACTGAGCTCTTGGAAGACACTGTTACTAAAATAAAGGCAAATGGGGCATATCGAGGGTACCCTGCAACCAAAGCAATGCTGGTGAAGATGTGCCAACCTCGCTCCTGGTCCTCTTCTAGAGACAGGCTCTCAAAGTCTGATATGCGGACTCATAGCGCTGACACAAGAGAACAGTGAGAAATGCATCTCCATAAGCCCCACCCAGCTCTGCTGAATCAGAATCTCTAGGGAGGAGGCCTCCAGATGGCTATCAGGTATGTTTGTAACTTAGAGAACCATTTCTCCCAAAAATGAAAGTTGATTAAACTTGCAAGCACAGAACTATTTTGAACTTTGCCATTTGCCTCTTAAAAAGCGCTGAAGAAGGAACACAGACCATGGGCAGACTGGATGAGGACAGCGAAGGTTTACAGGCTACACAGTCTCACTGCAACTTGCCACACACCTAGCAAGGCCTTTCAGGGAAAGATGACAGGTTGCCTCTATGTGACCCAAAGTTAACTCTGAAATTCAACTGACTGCTTTAATATTTGTATAAATATGGCAGGTGGATAAGTTAAAAAAGAAGTAGAACACATTATCATTTTATTTATCAGATTCACTTTCTTTGACTCCACAGAGCTATCATGGAGCACAAGGAGCTGTTAAAGGTTCCCTGGGATTGGCAAATAGGTAAGGGGTTTGCTCATCTAAGATGCAGTTTTCAGTAAACTTGAAAAATTTGTTTGAAAGTGAGATCTACGTGGGGGTGGGGGACAAACAAGGAAGGGTTTAGAATGGCAGGGGACAAACAGATGAAATCCCCTTGTCATTTTAGGAATTCCTGCACACTGTAAGAGACTGCATTGCATGAGTCATTATGCTTCCTACTTGAGCTTCTGCCTGTTATCACTGTCAAGGTGCCATTAGGGTAGACACAGAAGTGTGTTATTAGGTTAAAGACTAACCAGAAAGGAAAATGCCCAGAGGCAATGGTAGCAGAAATGACAGCAATTTGCTCTAGCCAAGAAACACAAAACTGATGTGATCATTAAAATGTGGCACTTTAGTTAAAGGGAGAAACAGAATTTAACAAAAAGGCATGAAAGGAAGCGATGTAATGGGCAGTCTGAGTCCATAAAAACCTTTTCAGAAAGGCGCGGATTGCACATAAGAAATAGTTAATTGATCTCCAAATGGACTGAGAGAGTGCCAGACACACTTTGAGCTGGTCATGCAGGGCATCTCAGATCCCACCTGCTTTTAAAATCACTTTCCTCTAAAAAATTTAAGACAGGGCTTCAGATCATAGGTGATGCTCTAATGATGGATCATATCATTAGATGTGAAGGCACTGCCACTGACACCTTCAGGAAGTCTATCCTGAGGCATGGAGTCCCGGCAGTGAACACAGAACTTGGGGAGGTGCTTAGCAAGTGTGTGCTGAATGAATAAAAATGGGAGGGGAAAATACAGGTGTTGCCCTACACTGAAGCTGGCAGCTCAAGCCATCTCCAGCTCCTTATGTAGCTTTGATATAATTGACAGCTTCAGTCACATTCTCCTTTCACAAGGAAAGACAACAATGACATCAACTCCCCTGCATCACTTTACCTGTCCCTAGCCACTGAGCTACAGAAGAAATTTGCATGACTCTCCCAAGGGGCTATCTCAGTGATTTCAAGGGGCTGGCAAGCCCTTATGTCTGTCACAGTGTACCACTATGTGTTTTCTCTTGTGTGGGTGAAAAATGTTACAATTAAATGAAAATCAATAGAGAGGAGGGAGTGATGGGAGAAGAGTAGAGTAGGTGGAAAAGGAAACCACTTCATATTACAGAAGCATGTGCCTTTGTGACTCTCAAAACCAGGACTCACAAATATTATTCATGCTTTGCAGCACTTCATATATATAATTCATACTCACTTCTGTGAGTATAAATGAATTTGATATTGATGGTAATGATACTAATCAAAAGAGTTGTCCTCTAATTATGTGGGTATCCCATGCACATCCACCAGGATTCTGTTAAAATTCAATGTTAGTTAAATGTGTCATCAAAAGATAGTTTTATCCTGAGCCTCATATTGCCATTAAAATGTCAGTCCCCTGTAGTTCAAGATGATGAAGACAGTGTAAAAGGAACACATTACAGAGCCATCCATTTAATTCCTGATTGGAAATGAGGCAAAATGGCCCGGAAGGAGAATCAAATATTCATCTTCTTTCTGAAGCACTTTTAGTATTGGGTTTGAGATTTTAATACCAGGGCCACCTTTGTTCTCATTAGCTCACCCTGGCCAACTATGTGGTCCAATTGTCAGCTCAGTGCTAGGCACATGGCATTCAGTGAATCAACATTTATTAAACGAGCAAATGAGTGAATGACAGCAAAGAAAGTGGGTATTGTTCTGCCTTCTCTCTTCTCAAAAAACAAAGGGGAAATGGTGGAGACAGTGGCAGGAGGCTTTAGACTTGACATTGAATTCTGTTCTGGGGAACTGGGAGATGGCAGAGCAGCCACTGTAACTTGTACACCGAAGTGAGACATCAAGAAAGGAAGCTTCCTCTCACCTTCCCCCACATTCTTAAGGAAGTTACCTAGGAGTGACCCAAGAGTTGTGCCCAGCTGTGGTTGCTGGATCCTGGTGAGTAGCTCACATTGTTTGGGTTAAGAGAAGAGAACCCAAGATGGTCAGTGAGTTTCTCTCTCTCTCTCTCTCTCTCTCTCTCTCTCTCCATTCTTTATACAACACTAAGCTATCTCATGCAGTCTCTTGGACAAGGCAGTTCATAGAGTTCATATATTATCATTTCATCAATGAAGTAAGAACTTTTCCCCTATAGAATAAGTGGGATAATAGAGGTTTTATATTTTCTGGACTTGAAGACATTTTAAAAAAAGATAGATTGTTGTTTTCCTACGAAGTGGACCAATTGCAAGATATGGAGTGATTAAAAGGAAAAAGATAATAGTTATCATTTTTTGTTCTTCCTTTGTTTTACTCTATTGGACAAAAAGACTGGTTGTGATTAATCAGTAGACGCAAGTAAAATGTATGACTTAATACAACTGAAGTGCCCTCCTGGGGAGCAGAAATGTTAGATTCACAGCCAGAAATCTAATAAATAATCTAAATATCGCTTTATCCCATTTGCCATATTGTGTTAATGAATGTGTGAACAAATGTAAGGTGAAGTGAAGGTCAAATGTCCTAGGAAAGAAAAGATGTACTGGGGTCAGTTAAGTGGGGTTTGTGGTATGGAGGGGTTTCTTCACTTTTGATATTGTGGTTAATGCCTGTTTTGTGTTGGGTTTTTTTGTTGTTGCTGTTCTACTGGAGGTCAAAACAAGAGACTTGTCCTTCCCCTGGAGATGGGATTACAGGACCACAGAGCAGAGAGGACTTTAAAATTAAGAATACACCTTTCTTTGTATCCCTGTTGAAATCTGATGCCTGGGAAGTCGAGGTGACTTGACTATACTTGTGGCTAATTATGGGACTAATGTTCACTGTCTTAGCAGAGCCAACCAGCCCAGTACCCTTTCTAGACTTGGCCTAATACATAGGTTCTGAAAAGTCATCTGACCTGGCCGTTATTTTTAAGAAATAATAACAATATTTTCAAAATCTAGTGTATTCAAGGGAAAGAGAAATACAGAACACCAGTGGGATCCCAAAGAAGGTGGTGAGGTAAAATATACACAGCACACACAGACATATACTGTGTACATGGCCACGTACACAGGTCATGTACAAAATGAGTTCATTCACATCAACAGGATGCTCTTTAAAAACCCCATTTCTCTTCATAATAATTAAACAACATAGAAATGTGCTCAGAATTTAAAGTCTGACTGTCAATAAAACCCAATGGCGTTTCTCAGCCTCTGTCTCTCACAGATTCCTCTTTTCCCCTTCTGCTGCTCTGCTTATGCAAATTACCCTTCCCAGGCCTCCTAGTCAACTGGTTTCTGACAGGTTTGGTCAATGGATTTGCAACAGAGGGAAATGAGAAGGAGAGAGGAAGAAAGAGAAAGAAACCCAGTGTTTTTACCTATTTCCCACTGTTTGGAGTCAGGTCTCTACCTCTGCAGGGCTTCCCTAACTTCTGACCACTGCTGCCATGGCCTCCTACCTATATTTCTCTAGCACTAGAAGTATGAGTGACTTACTGCTATTTTAATCTCTGGTTGCCTCACCATCCCTGTTTCCCCTGTCACCCATTCAAACACCCTATAGCTTTCACTGCATTCAGTAGCCCCTGTTGAATCTGGTATAGACTGTTTCTTGACTAATACTCTCTACAAGCCTATCCCTTGCCTATATAAACAGGATAATAACAATAACTGTAAGCCAGCAACCTTATTCTCTTGTTGAGATTAATTAAGATGTACATATAGCACAGTGTAAATACTCAACCAGTATCAGCTGGTAGTATTGTTCTCAATCACTGTAGTTTAAAACTCTTAGTGCATGAGGACAATAATGACCTATTCACTATTCTCAGTGAGAAAGGGAACATTTTAAATAAAAATGGTTATACATATACTCTGTCTATAAATGTAGTCATAGTGGCCATTATTTAGTTGCCAACTAAAAAGTGATTCAGTTCATCTCTTTAATTATGCTGGTCAACTGAAAACCCTACAATGGTCAGCAAGTTGGGTCTTCAGATGCATTGCTGACATTCATTAACTAGCAAAGCAAACCCATCCTGCATCCCAACTATTTGTTCAAGTATGTGATCATTTGACTGGTAGTGTTTCACTTACAAAACTGGTATTTGTACACCAAAATACTAGTTGACCTAGCAAAAGCAATCAACTGTGATAATGTTTGTATTTTATTCTGTCCCCATCTCTGATTTCTGCAACTTTAAAAAATACACTGAGAATGTCTGAGTTAGCCCGAGTAGTGGAAGGAGTCTGCCATGGACTGTTTGCCTACTCTGCTTGGCTCACCAAGTCTTATGTCTTCTCTGCTTCATCCAGCGACATGTCCAGCTCCCTACTGGATAGATCGTTGTAGATTACGCATGAGCACCTGAAACTTAACACATTCAAAATGGAGCTTTTATTTCTCCCAAACACGTGGTCCTCTCTTAGTTCTCTCTGTCTCAGTAAGTGGTATCACCCAGTGTCTGTGTTAGCCAGAACCAATGGTATCCTGACGCCCTTTCTTCCCTCACTACCCACCTCCAGGCATCCCCAGGGCTTGCTGAGTCTCTACAGACCCAGCTATTTGCTTGCCATGCGGAACAAGACCAACTGAGCTGTCAATCTCTCTTGCCTGGAAGATCTACACTCCTCTTTAATCCCCTCCCATACTTTCCTCCTCATCCTTCTCAACAGAGTAGCCAAAGTTAAAATTTAAAAATGTATATCAAGCTGAGCCTGGTGGTACATGCCTGTAAATCTGACACTGGTATTGGGGTAGAGGGGTTGAGACAGGAGAATTGAAAATTCCTGGCCACCTAGACCACTAGACAAACCCTGTCTCAAAAAATAAAAATAAAGCCGGGCACCGTGGCTTACGTCTGTAATCCTAGCAACTCAGCAGGCAGAGATCAGGAGGATCATGGTTAGAAGCCAGCCTGGCTAAATAGTTCAAGAGACCCTATCTCAAAAATACCTAACACAAAAAGGGCTGTGGTGTGGCTCAAGGTGTAGACCCTGAGTTCAAGCCCTAGTACCACAAAAGAAAAAAATCAGTGATGTTCTTTAAAAAAGCTCTGGTGTGTCTGGACGATTCACTTTTGATTATTTTTAGTAATTTAAAGATGGATCTTGTCCTTAGTCTGTTAATCACAGATTTCTTTAGGGAATACTGAACTAATTTCTACATCTTTTCATGTATTAGTCATAGGTTATCTAGTGTTCATGCATTTTTAGTAACTTGGTTAAAAGGAAAATGAATTATAAGTAGTATGAAACCCATCTGCTGGGAAATTGACTGTTTTGGAGAAATTAATGGAGAATCAAAATCCATCTGATAATACTATGACAGAATACACACACAAGGCCTCCCACCTCACTGAAATAAGAAAATGGGAGGCTTTCTCCCTCTTAGTGTGGAAGGCACGTCCACTGCACTAGAGGGGGCTGTGGTACTGTGGCTCACTTAATTCTCAAAATAATTTTATATAGATCTAATGTGGCTTTTCTTAGACTTAGGATAAGAATCATGTAGAATGAAGGCTTGTGCCCTTAAATACTTTTCACAGGACTGAACCAAATTTGTTTCTGGAGGAATCATTTGTTTTCATAGAGAGGCTGACTATCCAGCCCTTGCCAGATCACCTGAAATTCACAGGATTCAGAGGAAACAATCTGTCCACAGCCTACACTAGACATACTTAATCAAGGATTTCTTTGTAAAGGTTTCTCTTATTATGTTATAATGTCCAAAGACCCTCTGAATTGTGCCTTATTATTTCAGGGTAGAGAAATTAGCATTATTAATTAATTCATTCATTCATTTATTCATTCATTGCATTTGCATTGTATCAACATCTGGGAAAAGATAGAATCTAGAATTAGCTATAAACTCCTGATTGGCACTATCTGGAACAGAACACTCATGGAATTAGTATTAACAATTGTGAATCCAGGCATAAGTATAAACACAAATCTCTCTATATGTAAGCATATACATATGTAAGCATGTGTGTGTGTGTGTGTGTGTGTGTGTGTGTGTGTGTGTACATAGAGAGAGAGAATTTTTGAGGAAAAGAGATTGGCCATATAGCATTTTCAACATATGTCACCACACACAGTGAAGAGTCCACAGTATGCTAGAAAAGCTAATGCAAGGGCAGGTCTCAGTGTCTTGGGGTTGGACTGAATTGGAATTTGGGAATTTTGAAGAAACTGACAATGTCCTGTGCTCAGAGAAATGATCTTCCCAAAGATACACTGTTAGGACTTCAATATTCCAAATCCAGATTTCTTTGCCATGTAAACTCTTCAATGTGAATATCTATGTTCTTTGTTGTGAGCAATACATGATACCAAGCAGTTTTGTCCTAGTTTGCAAATAAAAAAAAGAGAGGTTAAAAAACAGTTTAAAAATACATGGCCAGCAAACATTAATTATCACACAGTTGGGAAGATCACTCAGAAGCAAGCCTCTGAGTATTTCCACTAAGAGGCTCTCCTTCCAGAAGAAGCAAAGTATCCGCTGTGTAGTGAGAAGAAGAAAGTTATTTTCCACAAATGTATTTTGACTTTTCATTTTGTTTTAGCTGTGGATTAGCCAATAATAAACACTGGTAAATATGGCATGGTGAGTCATAGATGGTGCTCTCACAGTGAATGCTGACAATGCCCTGCAGAAAGCTCTGAACTCGTCTTCTCTTTCCTCCCCAGGACTGCTCTATGTTGGCTTTAGTGCCTGCATGTTTGGTCTCTATAGCTTTATGCCAGTTGTCATAAAGAAAACCAGTGCCACCTCTGTCAATCTGTCTCTGCTCACAGCGGATTTGTACAGCCTGTTCTGTGGATTGTTTCTCTTCCACTACAAGGTAAGTTGAGTTCCTTTGTGACAATGACACTTTGCAGGAAGTAACAAACATTGGTAGGAATCCCCATGGTGTGGGATACCCTAATTTTGTGCAGGGAGGAGGAATTCAACTCTGACTTGAATTTGACCCATGACTTGGCTATTCACATTTTACCTCTAAGACAGAGGCAATATTTTGTCCTAAGAGACCAGGAACTATAGACAACTGATGGGAAAAGATAGGGGATGAGCTTTTGAATAATGGGAGATAGTTTTTCCTATATCATTCAACCTAGTAAGCTACTCTTTTTCCAACCTGAAACTAGGAAGATTTGTACAATTCTCAAGCTGCAACCACAAAATGTATTCTTCTAAAGGCATTGACAGATTATCTTCTCTTTGGAGAAAAGACACAATTTCAGTTTCTGCTTTGCAGATGTTTTTTATAGCAGATGTGAATGGAAAATGGTAATGTACTAGAAATAGTTTTCTTATTAAAAGAATGAGGTTTGAGTGAAGGAATGCAAAGAGATATTGTGAAACATTTATAGTTAGCATATCAGCCCTGAAGAAAGAAAGAAACTGTCCCCTCCAAAGATAGCCAGCCATCTCTCAGAATGCATAGCTACACACTTCCTCTCCTGAGGCAGGCATGACTAATGGATTATGACACACCAAGGTCCAATGTTATTCTTAACATCACACTTGCTGCATCCATTAACAATCAATTAGAATTGGAATGTGAGGAGAGACCCACTTTCCATTCCTTCACTAGTCCCATAAGGTAAGGGTCAATGGGGAAGATGCCACAGTGTAAAACAGGCCAAGTATAGAATGTTCAAGCAATAAGACCAAAGTAGAGCAAGCAAAAGACAAAATGATGAGAGAGAGAGAGAGAGACAGAGACAGAGAAAGAGAGAGAGAGAGAGAGAGAGAGGAGATTGTTGTCTGTGTATGATAGCCAAGTGCTTCATCAGTTATATTATCATTAATATCAGCAGCACACAACTGTGGCCAGCTGATGGGACACCTTGGTGGGCAGAGCTCCTTTAACTAGATAAAACTGGGTTTGGGGGATCTTGGAGAAATGATGAGCTGAAGAATGTAGGTACTTGGGAGGGCAAGAGGCAAAGCAGCTAATTGAATAATCCAAATTTGCTGTGGTCACTGTACTGGATGTTAAGTTTCTAGAACTTAATCACCTTATAACTGAAGTCTGTACCCTTGACCAGCACCTCTCCATTTCCCCATGAGTTTGTCTTTCATATAGGGCCTTTTTCCCATTTAGTGGCAAAATAACAGCTAGAAGAAACTACCTGGGACCAAACATGTTTTGCATGCATGTTGCTATTTCGATGTTGTGAGCTCCCCCATGTCCTCACAGGGGTAAGATCGTGGATATATTCCTCTCAGGCTTCTGCTGACTACAGTCTGGGAGAATCAGCTTCCTTCAAATGCCCAATTATTTTCCAGAGCCCAGGAGACCATCTGGCCATGGTTTCACCAGCAGAGTGACCACTATTTTTCCTTTCTCCTCTACAATTAAGCATTTATTCCTAGTCCACACCTGAGCATGAGGTCAGTCCTTAACAATTAATTCTGTAATTGGCTTTATCAGCTCCTAAAGAAAGGTGACTAAAATATATTGTTCTGATTGTGGACTGGGTCCCTTCTTGGGCAGTGCAGACACAGTCCAGCTCTCAGCATCCTTTAGAGCAGTATTTCAGAAAGTCTTTTCATTCTGGGTACCTGCTAAAAATGCAGATTCATGAACCACACCCAGAACCAGAGAGTCAAACCCTGGGGATGTTTGCAATGCTAACAGGCTGCCCCATGAATTGGAAAACCACTGGCTTTGAGTGGAGAAGTACCTGAACTGTGCCATTCCTATTTGAGCCTACTACTTCTCATACTTCCACAGACTTTGTGTTAGACCTGGGTTCCTCATTTAAAAGCATGAGAGGGCTGATACATCAGGTAAATTCTAACTCTCCACAATCCATCCTCTCCTCCATCATTTGTATGATACCCACACTTAGGATACTTTGCTCAAGAGGAAACCATGTATTAACCTCTCTGCACCCATCAGAACAAAAGCTGTGCTGTCTCAAAACTAAATTCTTGTATTTGCCAATTTAGGAGGGTAATAACTATTTTGGTTTCTTTAAGCATTGTTTTTTATTACATATATTTTGGAACTATTTAAAAGACAGATTTCTGTAAAAAGAGGGCTTGTTCCAACACAGTGTTTTTTCCTAGCTAAAATTAATTCCTATTGTCATTTTTTAAAATTAAACTTTTGCATGCACTTTTAAGAAATAATACAGAGAGATCCAATTTTCCCTTTACCTAGTTTCCCCAAATGGTAACATTTTCTTACAAAACTGTGATCCAAGTTTAGGAAATTTACATTGATACAGTCAACACCTGAAACATCTCCATCACAAGGATTGCTAATGCCTTTTTATGACCATAGCCACTTCCCACTCACAAGTCCAGGAAACCACTAATTTGTTCTCCATTTCTGTAAGATTGTTATTTCAAGAATGCTAGTAAATGCAGTTATATGGTATAATAGTTTGGGGGATTGATTTTTTTTCACTCAGCATAATTCTCTGAAGAGTCATTCACATTGTTGACTACATCTAGTAGTTCATCATTTTAATTGCTGAATAATGTTCCATGTTATGGACGTATCATAGTATATCTAGCTATTTACCTGGAGAAGGGCATCAGGACTTTTTCTATTTTGGGCTGTTACACTAAATCTGCTAAAACATTCATGTACAGATTTTTGTGTAAACAGAAGTTTTTGTTTCCCTGAGATAGATGCCCAAGAATAGCATTGCTGGGCTGTGTGGTCCTGGCATGTTTAGTTTTATAAGAAACTGCCACAGCATTTTCCATAGCGATTTATTGACATCTGCTGCAAAGAAATGCCTCGCCATGTGAGAAGGTCATAAAATACAGACAGGTGTTCCTGCACACGGGCACCATTTTATACTGCCTGTATATTTTGTAGTCCACACGGATTTTAACAAAAACTTAATTACACTGTGCATAATTTTGTCACATTTTATTTGAACTTAGCATGTATGTATTTCCATGTTATTTAATATCTCTACATAATGAATCTAAATCGGTGCTTTTTGTGTCTGGCCATAAATTACAGTCACCTAGAATGAATATGAAACATGGCTGTGCCTAGATCCTATCCCAGAGGGGCTGATCCTGATTAATTAGGAGTGGGGCTTTTTAAAATCTCTTCAGATGATTCACTGTGTATTCTATATGCAGTCAGAATTGAGAATAACTCATTTACAAGTTTTTTTAAAAGGCTGTGTAGTTTTCCATGGAATGGTTATACTTTATTGAACCTGAAGTTTTCCTTCTGTGGCATGAAATGAGTTCTTGCTATGGGAAGAGAGCTGTCCTCTGCATTATAGGATGCTAGGCATCATTCACAGACTCAAGTTGTGAGGTGTTGTAGCACCCCCAGTAATGACAGCAGCAAACGTCTGCATGCATTGCTAAATACTGAGAACCAGGGATTAGATCTATATACTTGTTTTTTATTTCTAATTTGAAACAAAAATTTTAAAATAATTTCAGAATCTTATTTAAAATAAGTTGGGAATCCTTTGTGTATAGTTCTTAACATAGTAACCCAGTAACAAAGTAAACAAACCTCTACTCTCCCTTCCCTTCACTACCATGGTATTTACATTGGTACCACATGGTGAGTTCATGAATAAACACCCCTGTATTGTTTTCTAATTGTTTCATACACAACAGTATTTAATATAAGCAAAGAAATAAGATAAGTACTCACTTAATTTAGATTTAAAAAAAAACACTCTCTTTTGCTTTAAGCAGTTTCTAAAAGACTCTCCCAGGCACTTCTTGAATTTATAATAAAATAGTCATTGTTGGGAAAATCTAGGGTTTTCCTCAGTGCCCTGCTTGCCTGTCTCAAGCATGATGCTGAGTTCAAACCTGAGGACAACACACACACACACACACACACACAAATGCTCATGGTAATGGGAAGTGTGTTTGGGAGGAGATATTGGAAGAGCTTTGTTATTTTTTTATGTCTTCTCTGGAAAAATGTCTGTTTGAGTCTCTTGTCCATTTTTTATTGCATTAGTTGTTATTGAGTTGCAATAGCTCTTTACATGTTTTAGATACTAGACCTTGTCAAACATATGGCTTGAAAACATTTCTCCCCTTCTTGGTTGTCTTTTCACTTTCTTGTCATTATCCTTTGAAGCACAGAGGGTTTTAATTTTAATGAGGTTGAGTTTATCTGTTCATAGCTAAAGTTATCAACATGGAAGAAACCAAGTAACTCCCACCATGGCCTTTGAGCCTCCAAGTCTTCCCTGGTTGCTTTCCTTGGTCTGCTATTAGTAACTGCCACTTGGTTTGCACTGTCTACTCTAACGGGAGAGCTCAAAGTCAGCCTAAGGAAGAGAAGATCCAGTTAAGGAGAGGCATTCTTAACTGCATAAAAAGAGCTGCACATCAGAATCATCTAGAGAATTTTCAAAACACCCACTGATTGAGACAGCACAGCATCTGATGCTTCAAGACTTCCCAGGTGATCCTAGTGTACAGCCAGGGTAAGCCCTGTTTGTGGTTGCAGGCAACTGGACCTAGGGCCAAAGGGTGGTGATAATAAGATTATTGCTAAGTATAAAGAAACATTGGTAACAAGTCGCCATCCAGATATGGAACGGACTGTCTTGGGCTGGAGAAGGCAGGAAGGGATGTTAGTATGAGAAAGAGAATGTGGAAACCTCATAGTCAGTGCTGAAGGTCAGCCCAGTGACCCCTGAGACCTCATTTGGTTTTACCATAGCCTGCAGTTATAGCTTTTTCTTTCACTTCATCATGATATCTTTACATCATCTCTGGCCTGGTTATAAATATCTGTAAGTTGAGAGGGGAGGGTATCTTCTTCACAGATGTTGCTTACCAGGCAGAATTAAATGACTAAACAAGACTCTCCTGCCCAAC